AACATTCTGCTCTCTGAGAAGTTCTGTGGGAGTCCATGCATGACTTTCTCCAACAGGACTCTCGACAGGACTCCTGCAAGAATTTTTGGGGACTCCTCGTGACTCCATGTTGGGCTTTTCACTTTAGAAAGTTCCTGCGAGAGTCATCAGGACTCCTTACGATTCCTGCTGGAGTTTTTCATAAACTTGGGACTCCCGTTGGAGTTTTGCCGGGAGTCTCGACTAGGGGAAACAGCGTACTTTTGTACTTGAAGTTAATTTGGCAACTTTGAGCTACTTTCAACTACTTCTAGCCACTTTCAGCTACTCTAAGCTACCTTAGGCTACTTTACGTTACTTCAACCTACTTTAACTACTTCAAGCTACTTTAACTACTTGAGGCTACTTTGAGCTACTTTATGCTACTTTTAGCTACTTTGTATTATCTCGAGCTACTTTGAAGTGCTTTGTGCTACTTCTACATACTTTGAGCTACTTTTGTACCTTGAACTACTTTTGTATTTTGAGCTACTTTAAACTATTTTCGTACTTCGAGCTACTTTGTACTACTTTGTGCCACTTTCTGCTACTTCTACATACTTTGAGCTGCTTCATACTTCAAACTACTTTTGTACTTTGCCGTACTTTACGCCTTAAAGTACGCTGTTTCCCCCTTGGAAATCTTACACAAGAAAAATTACTAAATGCTAAAGGTCTGTTGAACTGGAAGCGTAAAACAAAAGTGAAAAGTCCATTGAAGACGACCAAAAGAAAATATCCTTGAAAAGGGAACATTCTGGCGGACAAGTTTTTAAATGTAGGGCTGTCCCCTTTATAGAGAGACATCTCGCAACCGTGGTTGTGGACATTTCTGATTCAACGGGACAAAGCGCATAATGTAATACAAAGCTAAAAAGTTTTCTGGACCCTCTGACAATCCTAAGCGGCCTGAAAGTATTTTTAATCGATTCGCTACGATAGATTATCTATACTCGGTAAGTTTTATTATCTGTACTACATTATCTAAGATGACTTTTTTGTGTTATGAAAACTAACCGGTTTTCTAGCGACATCTCTCATCTGACCATAGAAAGGTGTGCACTGCTCTGTATCTGCTGATATTTGAGATCATTGGTTTGAATATTTTCTCCCTTGTGGTTAAAATTGAATTTCTATTTTTGTCGCTTGTGATTGGCTATCCATGGAATATATACTGCTAATGATTCGTTGAGCTATCAATAGCTGCGACCATACCACAACAGCATGAATTTCCTTCTAGATATGTGACGCAACGAAATATGCAGTCGTAGACAGAGGAATTCGGAAAAGGAGGTTTTGAATGCCGTAATACATAGACAACGAAGTATTCTGAAACTATGTGTATATTTCTTCTCCTCGTTGAACTTTTTAGCGAAGCGTTCGAGAACACATAAGCCTGTCTAATTTTGATCGTGAATAAAACTACAAGTAAATCAAAACTGAAATGATCTAAAGTGCAGCAAAAAATTGTTTTCTCTATTGATTCTTCAAAAACTGAAAAAATACTGTGCAAGACATGAGAATTCATTCTCTCCTTGCATGTATGGGTCAAACTAGAGGTGGGGAAGTCCGACCGTTTTCAAATTCAAGTCAAGTCTGAGTTCAAGTTGAAATTCTTCGTAGCAGTTTCTGTACTATACAGTACGTCATAATCATATATATCATATAGAAAATAAATTTTATCCATACATCGATGCATGTTGGACAAAAAAAAGATTAATAAATTCGGATTATATAAAATAAGTCGGATTATATTCATCTCATTGTCAAATGTAAAACATTTTAATTGCTTGAACTTCGATGGACTCAATAAAGAAATCCCCAAGTCCGTCAGAAAAACCCTTTGAAGACGGACTTGGACTTGCCCACGTGTTGTATCCAAATCTGTTTCCTCAGATGCAGATAAAGTCGAACTTTTCAATTCTCATTTTTTCTCTTGAGGGAAATCTTCCCCTTGTTTTTCTCTTCTTGTGCTGACTGATATTCTTTCATCACACCTTCATTTCATTTATGTCTTTCTTCTGGCAAATTTCCTGCTCTATAGAAAATTGCATATGTTATTCTCGTTCACAAAAAAGGTGCTCTTGCCGATGTTTTCTAACTATCGTCCTGTCTCTTTAATCTACAACTTTTGTCTCTCATCTCTCCAAGCATTTATTTTTGTAAATAAACAATTTGATTTGTGGCCTTAACATTCTACTCTTGAAACTTTGTTCATTTTATCTTTAACTGTCTGTAACTTCTGGAATGCTGGTATGAAGTGTGATGATGTATCTTTCGATTTCTCTAAAGCCTTTGACGGTCGATTCTACAACCAAGTGCTACTTTCTATTATTTTCACTTGTGACAGTGATTAGTTCTACAAATTCTAGTTGCAGAATATCTTGACCGCCTTTGACTCTGTTTTCCATTCTCTTTTGTTGGAAAAATATCTCGTGTGAGACATTACTCTTGCTTGTCGTGGTAAACTGCACGCATTGAATCGTGTCTCTGGATTACTTTCGCCTAAAGCTCGGCGTCGAATCTTATTTTCCTCTGTTCTCCCTAACTTGGTTATTGTTTTACCTTATGACAATTCTTTTTCTCTTTTAGTTCTTTACTCTGTTAATAAACTTGCTGCACGTATCATCTCTTAATTCTAACTATCATTCTTCTAGCTCTTTACTTGTGTCTCAACTTTCGCTTCCAGATCTTTCTAGTCGCTGTAAGTATTTTCGACTGATACAATTTTTTAAAATTTATCATCGTCTCAACTCTATCAGTATTATTTATTTTGGTTTTGGTTTTATTTACATTGTTCTTTTTTTATTTTTCCTATATCTTTTTTCATTTCTCATTTTTATGTGTTGATGATATAAGGTTGAAATAAGCCAAAACTATTTGCACGAGATCAACAACTAACATTATATTTAAATTTACAATCTGTTGATTAATAACTTCAGTCACCAAGAGATGGATGAATACGAGTAAATACTCGTACTCGAGTATACTCGAGTACAAATTTTAGATACTCTTACTCATACCTGAAAAAGTGTGTACTCGCTTATCTCTGCAGTCACCATTAGCTACATAAAAATATCGATGAATTCCAGTGTTTAAGTTCAATTATGTTTAAGAGAAGAAAAGAAACTAGATGCCAACTACCATCCGAGAAGATTGGAAAGTCGACTGAGTGAAACGGTAAACAGACGAAATTAGAACATAGAGAAAGTCATAACTGTTCTACGGCATATTGTTAACATTGACATATCAGCTGATTCATTATCGTGTTATATATTCTATTACACATTTTATCATATCAAGCACTATAGCATATATTCACTATGAAATTAATCACGTGCCAATTAATCATCTCGAAGGAAAAACGATAAAGTTTTTTAAAAAATATACCCATTTTGTGACATCAGAGCTGCAGGATCTGCCTGTTTGCTCCGACGATCGTCGGAGAAAAACTTATTGATTCGAGGAAATTTTTTAAAAAACTGGAATTTTTTTTTGCAAATATTTTGCAAAAAGAAATTTTGTTCATCGATTACGTCGGGAAATTTTTTGAAAAACTTTTTCCGTCGAGGAAAATTTCCCAATCTCACGGGTAGATTCTGCACCTCTGTATGACACAAATTATAGAATAACTAAAGCAAATGTCCGAAGAGCAATTGCGGATGTATCATCTACAAGTCCTTCACTTTCCACTTTAATTGCAGAAAAGACCGAACGTTAAATCATATATATAATCGTATGTTTATCGATATTTGTATATACCTGATAATGATTAAAGTTATCAACTGAAAACTTCTACATTTAGATAAAATGTTAGTTGTTGATCTCGTGCAAATAATTTTCGTCGTTTCTCTAGTTTTCTTACTTGTTCTACTATTCATTGCTATTGACTTGATTCATTGTTATTATAGGTTGGAATCTTTGATGATTCTTACTTTTTCATGGATAAATATTAGTTAAACCACGTGTTTTAACGTGATGTTAAATCTAAAAATAGGTGAGACTGAGTCTCTTAAGCCTTTCGAGTCCGTCTCTTATACAACGATAGTCGATCGTACATCTTTCAATGTAAAATTTTCAGATTTGATGTACCTGAAGCGTTGAGGAAAACTATTCTCTCTTATATAAAAAACTGATTTTGTGACCGTGAAATATGAATTATACAGAAATTGTCGCATTTTAAGGAAACGTACTTGAAATTGCTGTTTGAAAAATTCTGTAGAAAGTAGAATGTCTCATTTTACTTCACATTCCTCTAAAATTTCTCTCGTAAAATGTGAAAAAAGATACAGAAAAGAGAGCAAAATTACAAAAATTTCGAAAAATACTTTATTAAGAAACATTTTTGAGCTAGAATGGATTTTTATGTATGTCCCAACTATGTAACTGGTATTAGGGTCACTTTTAAAACTCGATTATTAAGAACATTTAGCAAAAAAAATGCACTTGCACAAAAACTATAAGTGGTACATCGGTCCTTAACTGTTCATAATTTTACTCTATTAGCTTTCTACTCTACCGCTTACATTTCATACAATCAAGTAAAACATATAAGAATTCATAATCCACTACTTTTTATCAATTTTTGCAAAGAACATCACGGATCAACAAACTCATAGGAAGGATCTCTACTGTGAATTGTAGAAATATCTCTCATTGACGAACATTCTCTTACACAACAAAATGTAAATCTAAATTTTAGAGTGTGCATTTTGCTTGTTTCAGCGAAGTATAAATATGAATAATGTCAGTTCTTGATAAATTCATGCAATTTATATCACGACAGTCTACAAACTATTTAATCTAAAGTTTCTAGGAATGTACAGCATTGTCTATTGCCTTTCGACCAATCTTATTTGACAAGCAAAATCATTCTTTTATTATTTCAGATATTTTAATACTTCAAAATGATTTTACTCAAGTGTTAATAAATATTTGTTTTTTGTTTGTGTTCAATATGTATTTATTTATTCAATTGAATTATGAACGTTATTGATCGTTTCAAGGTATGTGTAGTGCAAATTAAACTATTTTTTTTAAAAAAGTATTTTGTTTCTGCTTTAAGAATAAAGTTGTTGAAAAATTTTATAACCACGGTTTATTTGTTGCCGACAATTCACTTTATGTTATTTTAATAGTTTTTGGATTATTTATTCTTTCGTTGTAAGTATCAGTGATACATAAATTTGTCTTAGCTATCTGTAGAGTAAACTATTTCTATGAGAGTATAAGACAGCAACATTTTTAGTCTTTCTCTTTACTATTACATTCAGTATATCATTTTTATGTTATTTAGATTTCAAATTACTCATGTTCCTCCACCTGGCAGTTCGTTAGAAGTATTCACTGAATCAAGTAGAACATTTCGTCCTGTTCAAGCACGATTAGAATTAAATCATAATGAAATACATGATAAACAACCAGACAAACCTCTTTGGGTACGTAAATATAAATTCGACATATTTTATTTATGCAATAAATAAGTACTTTCCTTTTGATTACTTTTTCTTTAAAGATCAGTATATTAAAAAGAACATTAATTTATAAAAAGGAGATTTTGCATGGTTTTGTTTTTCTTTTCGTTTAGTATACTGGTTATCCAATAGCTTATGTTCAACATATTGTTGTCCGTTGTGGTTTAGCATCATCTTTATCATCAGTAACACTTAAACCTACCGATTTTTTTCGTTCATGTATACTAAAATCAAATGAAATTCGCGATTTATTATCATCAATTCAATATGACAATAATCAACTTGAGAATTATTGTTTACATGTAACTGAATCATCCAATGTTTACTTGAAACAATATTTACCTAATTATGGTTGTCTATTATTATCTCCTTTGAATATTTGGAATAATGATATTACAAAATTATATGACGATAGTAGTCCATTAGACACTATACAACAAATACTCACATCATCATCGAGTGATCAACAACAATCATTTGGTAGTAGACGAAGACGACGACGTTTATTTAATGATATTACATTTGGTGTACCATATCGTCTAATACAAAATGAATTTGGTCGTCAAGAATATCAAATGACGTATGCCATTACGTTGTTACTGATGAATGCATCGTCAAATTATTTACAAATATTAAAAGAAAGATTAGAATCAAAATATTATTTAAGTGCAAATAATAATAATACAATACAAGACGATACAGATATATTTCATGTACACTTTTCAAGAAAATCATTCGTCTATTATTTACCATTGGTATTATTGTATCTCGTTGTCTTTTTATACATTTATTATTCTGTTAGTAAGTACTTTTATCATCTCACAACATACAGAAGTAATGCTGATATAATTTCTTTTTTTTTTATTTAGGTCAATTTGAATGCGTCAAATCAAAATGGGGTTTAGCATTGGCTGCTGTAATGCAAATCTTTTGCTCTTTAATTATTTCGCTAGCTTTAAGTTCTTATTTTAATATTACTCCTCGTCTAAACGGCGGTGAAGTATTTCCATATTTGGTTGTATTTATTGGTTTAGAAAATTTAGTTGTTATTACACGTAGTGTTACATCTCAAACCATCAACGACGATATACGGCACCGAGTTGGTAACGGTTTAAAGAAAGAATCTTGGACTATTTTTAAACATTTACTTTATGAACTTTTAATTGTATTGATTGGTTATGTGACATTTGTTCCAACTGTTCAAGAATTTTGTCAATTTGCATTCATTGGAATATCTATTGATTTTTTTATGCAAATGAACTTTTTTGTTGCTGTATTAAGTATTGACATTAGGCGAATACCAACAACATCAGCAACAACATCTTCTAAAATGATAAAACAATCATCGACTATACAAATGCCTTTGCAACAACCATCATCATTATCATCAACAATTATTTCATCTACAAGTCGTAAACATAATCAATCAACATGGGCAAAATATCGTTTTATTCAACGTACAATTATGTTTTTAATTCTTATATGGTTTCTTCTTATTTTTTATAAATCTTGTTTAATCGTTGATCTATTACATAAGAATGTTAAAATAAATCGAGAAGAAATTGAAGGTTTTGTATCAGAAAAAACACTCACTGAACATTATATGAAACAACGATCAACAGTAAACATAAGTCGTCCAACAAACAAAGAAAATGACAAATTATTATTTTATAAAAAATTTCAATGGCATCTTCTATTGAATTTTGATCATTGGCCAACATTATTCTCTTATTACAACATAACAAATCATAATAGATATTTAACAATTTTACCAAGTATTTATTTATCAATACCAATTCAAGATCAAACATCAGAATTACAAAATGATAATTCTCTTGTAAGTATATAATTATTTAATATTAGTTGATTATTTTATATGATAATTTGTTTTTATTTTTAGCTCAACGAGCCAAACAATATTCAACAAACTGTAAAGAACGATGAATTTAAATCGAATTCTCTTCATGTATCATTTTCGAGCGCTGTATTAGAACTAATGTTTATTGTTTTCTTTGGTTTTCTATTTTTATCTGGTTTATATTGTTTATTTTCATTTTCTCGTGGTCATTCACAACCTTATGCAGCTTCAGCGAATGCAGTCCAACGTGATTATGATGTAATACCAATTGTGATGTATTCTAAAAAAACATCTACATCTATAATCGAAACAATTTCATCGAATGAGATCCATCTGACAGTCTGTTATAGTGACTATTCAATTCTTTTATGGAATTATTCAACTGGTGATCTTATAACAACAATACAACGTGAAAAGCCTTCGTATCATGTTTGGTGCTCAGTATTAGTCGATGAACTTCTCATATTAGGTTGTTCAAATGGACAATTAGAAATATGGAATATATTTCATCAACAACATCTGAAGACAGAACATTGTGCTGATGGAGGTATAACACATCTCATACGTTCCCATAATTCTATGTATACAGTGTTAGTGACAACACAAACCGGACATATATTATTGTATGATATACAAATGACAATGAACAAACAAATAAATATCCATTGTTTCTATCAACAACGAGTCCATCAGTGGCCAATAAGAACGTGTAAAATAGAAGCATCAAGAATAATGACAGGAAGTGATGATCATAGTATTAAAATAACACAATTAATTAATGGACAATGTCTATTTACATTCAACAAACATAAAGCCCCTGTTAGCTGTTTAGCCACTGATAAAGTAAGTTTATGACGGTATTTAAATTCAAGTAGAGGTTGTTAACCGTATTATTTTTTGTTTTTTAGAACAATCCATCGTCTTTGGTTAGTGGTTGTCTGGATGGTCAGCTATGCCTGTGGGATTTGACAACCGGACGGTGTTTATTAACAAAGCAGCACGCTCATAATGGTTTTATACTTGAATTAATGTCACATGATACCGTATTGGCTAGTCTTGGTAATGATGATCGAATTTGTATATGGAAACGTCGAACTTTAGACTATTTATACGATATTCGATTAAATAATTCAACGTTATGTTTTACACTAGCCCAAAATTATTTACTTCATACCCATTCTGGTTATTTATTTGTAACCGATACAAAAACAAATCAGTTGAAACAAACGTTACTCTATCAATTAAATAATTCAACAGCTAGTCATGCAATAGAAATGATCTATTCTCTAACTAAACAAACAATTATTATCCATGACAACAACGATATTCTTTATTCACTGAGTTTACCAGAGAAATTTGTGAACGATTAATTGTTGTTCACTCATCATGGAAACCAGTCTCAGTTCTTTTCATTCATTTCTATAAATATAGTAAAAATTGCTGTACCAAAATTTATCTTCCTAATCGAAAGATCTGATCATATTTTGCATATTCAATTACATTAAATTCCCCTAAGAAACATTTTGAATTTATTTTTCAGACATGAAAAACGTCTTTCTCGTTACGGCTAAAAAAAAAGTGTTTATATGTAAATTATAACTGCAATTATGAAAAGAAAATGTTACATTCCGTCGACAATACTTCTCGTGCACTTTATACTCGAATCAAGAACTAAAAAATTTTATTTTATTTTTACTTGTTCAGCCCGGTGATGGCTCCTTCAAAAATTTATTTTTTACAAAGCAAATACTCAGTGTATGAATTTTCGGATTTTATATGTGATACCGACATTGTTTCAGTTCTTTTTTGTTGTCATTTCCACTTTTTGAATTGTTTTTGTTTTTGTATACTGTTGTTATAGAAAAATAGATTGAAAAATGAATCATATTCGACGAATTATTTCCCAGTTTATTCGTTTTTCTACCCAAGATTGTTCAATTAACGCGTCCTATATCTCTACGTATATTTGTTATAAATGAATATTGACATTGTTTTTCTTAATTTTAGTTTCGCAATTAATTCAAAAACAAAAAAAAGATATTCGTAGATGTGTCTATAGAAAATTATTCATCTCTGAAGAAGAAACATCAATACGATCTAATCGTATTGAGTGTACACAAATTATATACAAAAAACGATGAAAAAACTACAATAGAAATAGGAAATATGTGTAAGATAATTGTATCTCTACATAGACAATTACAAAACATTCAATGTCAAAATATAAAATTAATAATACATGGCAAAGCACAAATAGCCGATTATTGATAGGAAAAAGAAAAAAAAATGGTAGCATCTGATTTACATATAGCAAGACTAGATTAGTAAGAAAAATAATATAAATCGAGAAAAAAAATAATATTTTAACTAGTTTCAGTTAACATATTCAAAAGTTCATCACATTCTTCTATAACTGCATCAGTTTCAGAATATTGACTATTTTCAGCCACAGCACACAACGATGCTAATAAATTAGATAGTTTTTCGCATGCATTACAATCACGTAAAATCTAAGAAATAATGAGAACTTTTAAAAATGAAACAAATTGATATTATACTTACTTCTCGAGCTTTCTCATGTTTAGATAAATGTTTTAAAGCTCTTATAGCAAATTCTTGTACTAAAACATGTGTATCATGACAAGCAACGTCAAGTAATTTTTCTGGTACTTTCATTTCCAATAGCCTATTAGATAAACGATGAATTGATAGAAATCCGAGTATATCTAAAAATAGAAGATAAACATGAGTATAATGCAATTAATATTATTTAATTTTTTATTTTTACTTACTGACAGCATGTGATCGAATTTTTAATATTGTATCATTTAATGCTTGAACTAAATAGGGTATTAATTCTTCAACAAAATCGTAGAGTATCTCATTTGTAGAAATAAAGTTGCCTAACGAATAAAATGCCATCTACAAAGAAAATACTCTACAAAGTAACACATATGTTAGACATGTTTAAATCTTACTTTTCGAACATGAGCATCTTCTTCGAAACAACATTGTCGAATTAAATCTAATATATCAACATGTGATTTCAAAATATTACAAAATGCACGAGAATATTTTGTCATATGTCCAATTAGAAAACAACATCGAGATTTTGTTAAATCACTACCACATAATGCACGTGACAAAACATTAAAATCTCCTATAAATTACACATAAATCAATTAACAAGTTGAAACATATGAAACTGTTGTACACACTTTTTGGTCCACTTAGTATATCACTTAAACACGGTACAACGGTGTCAGTTGTTCGAATGAGATTTGTAAACGTGAAAAGAACATCACATAAGATGAATTCACTTTCATTTCTACCATAAAGTACATTTTCATAAAACTGGCATAACTAAGATGAAAATAAAACAAGAGTCTTCAAAATAACGTATAATATACGAGAAAAAAATGTTTACCTGAACATCATTCATTAACATTTGAACAATAGTTTTTCGACCAGCTAAATAATGATGTATATAAAAGACTGGCTAAAAACTAACATTTACGTTTTCATACCGTCTTGATAATAGCTCAGTTGTCCAATAAGACCAACAGGAACTTCGATACGTGAAATCGGTAGATGAGAGACAGTTACCGAAAGTAGTTTATGAATTAGTTTGAATCGTTGGCATAGTCTGAAAGATGGGAAGCAGAAAAAACAATGTATTACAGAGATCAGCACGGGCCGGGCCAAGCCAGAAAATTTTATGGAGTGGTCGGGCTTGGGCCGCAAAGTATTTGATCTGGTCGGGCCGGACCGAACTCAGAATTTTTAAGTATGCGTGGATTTGTAATTTATGTGTATACTCACGAGGAAAGGTTCCCAAGTGTGCAATCGCTTTTTGCTTGAACTCTAGTGGACAATAGGTAATCGACTGCGTTAAACCCGAATCTGACATCGGTTTGTGCTGCTGGGCCTCCAGAGAGCGGATTCCTGGAAAACCATGTTTTCAGAAACTCTAAAAAATAACCCAAATCTTTCTTAATGAGGCATGATTGTAGACCGCAAATTTCTGATTAAAATGCGATATATCCCAGCTCTACAAGATCTTTCTTTGCAAAGTTATAGAATTTACACGAAAAGCCCTAAATTAATTTTTTCTTATTTGTGTAGCTTTGAGCTGACAATGAACATTTAGGGCTTTTCGTGTAAATTCTATAACTTTGCAAAGAAAGATCGTGTAGAGCTGGGAGATATCGCATTTTAATCAGAAATTTGCGGTCTACAATCATGCCTCATTAAGAAAGATTTGGGTTATTTTTTAGAGTTTCTGAAAACATGGTTTTCCAGGAATCCGCTCTCTGGAGGCCTAGCAGCACAAACCGATGTCAGATTCGGGTTTAACGCAGTCGATTACCTATTGTCCACTAGAGTTCAAGCAAAAAGCGATTGCACACTTGGGGACCTTTCCTCGTCAGTACCGAGAAAGAGTATTATCACTGTTACGCGACATCTTAATGACTTCGTTTAGCTAATGCCTTTAAAGGTTGAAAAAATAAAAACCAAGAAATCAAAAAGATATAAATATTAGCTTGGGAAATACGTTTACACCACTTAGCCAGCAAAAGCGTTACAGATGCAAGAAAAAAGTCACGCCTGGGACCAGAAAATTTTAAAAAGTAGTTGGGCCGGCCCGGGCTGGACCAGAAAAGTTTCAGGATTGCCCCGGTCGGGCCAGATAAATTCCACATTTGATCGGGCCGAGCCGGGTTTGGTCCGAAACTTTTCATCATCGAGTCGGGCCCGTCCAGAAATTTCCACCCCTTGCGGATTTCTGATGCATTATCGAACATGAGAATTAGGCGTATACCAATCCAATCCTGTTTGATATTAAAATATGTTATTAACATATTTTTTCACTAACTATAAACATGATTTGAAATATATTTTAGTTCATAATTCACATCAGTTTTCAAGCAATTTATTGACTTTTATTTATTTTATATTTCGATATCTACGAGAAAAAATATTTATAATCTAATACCAAAGATGTATGATATCAATCAGGATTGATGTCGAACGTGTTTGACTCGAACAAGATTGATATCAAACATATCTGACATCAAATCTCAAACTTTAGATTGGAATTGCTGTACACCTAATACATACAATTTTCATATTACTCACTCTAATGTTCTTTCCAGGAAAACATTGCTTGTTTCAATTGAAAATGGAAATGTAAGTATATTGCAGACTAGTGTAATAATTTCAACCGTTAATGATGATTTACCATCTGATCTGAATAAAAATATAAACGTATGTGATTATTTTAAACTGTTAAAACTTTCTAAACACACACCTACTTTAATTCAAATTGATCTAGTAGTTGTTTACTAAGCATCAAAGATAACGATTCAAACATGATACTTTCAGGATGGATCAATATACTCAAACATTTATGCATACGCTATAGAAAAAAAAAGTCCAACAGCCAGTAATATTTCATATTCTAAAATCTAAATAAATATACCTGAAGAAATAATTCTAATGTCAATTCTAATAATTCATATACACCATGTTTCGAAATTAGTATCCAGTCTGGTGTAATTGTTGAATCATCAATTGAAGAACGTTCTGTTGTACTACCATGTTCTTGTGACGGAGATAATGATCGAAATGCTGCACGAACTTGTTGCCATAAAATAAAAAATAATCCACAATCAATTAAATTACCAATAGTTTTCTGTGGATCCTACAACAAAAATAAATTGAATAATAAACTTATAATGTCTCATATTTTACGTACAATTTGAACAAAATAGAGTAAAAGTCCAATGATACCATCTAATAGACCATGATGAAATGGAAATCGAACAAGAAACTAAAATAAATAAAGTGACATTAATCTAATTTAAACATATTCGTGCAGATATATTAATACTATTCATAAACATACATCACATTCTGATTGAACAAATATTGTTGATAAACTTTCGATATATTCATCTGGATTCAATTCAAATTTTGCTCCACAAGCAATTGCATAAACAAGATGTAATGCACATGCTGCACGTTGAGGTAGAAATTGTGTTGTTAAAGCTAATTGAGTTATGTGAGATGTAATGGGAAGAATTCTACAGAAAATTTTCAAAATATAGAAAATAATATTATTAAATGACAAAATTTAAGACATACTTTTCAAATTTTTTGTCCTCCTTTATTGAATATTTACATTTGAGATCGACATATGTTTCATTATCACTAGAAAAAAAGGCAAATCTAATTTTTTCTTTTTATAGATACTCGATTTCATTCAAACTTACCATTGTAACACAATTTGTTTGAGTAAAATTGTTGAGATATGCACAGATAATTCGATTGCTTCGTCTAATTCTGTGGGTTCGATTGCAAGCTGTAAAGAGAAAGATAGTTATGTCACAGAAGTGTCTGTTTGATCAAAATACCCAGTATTTTCAGTTATTTTCAAGGTTATTGATAAATCTACTCGAGAAAAATATAAGACTATTGGGAATAACAGGGTGTGCATAAGTTTCGCAACAAATGTCGAGTGCTATTTCTCCATGTTCCTAATACTCTGAAGATTTTGTCTTTTTTTGTTTGTTGGAACGAGTTAACGAAGGGACCTCGCGAACTGTCACATCGCTTTTGTGAAAACTTCCAAGGACACGTCCGTTCCCCAAAGCAGCTGGAAGTTTGAAGTTTATTTTTATAGAGAGAATCCTAGGGCAAAAATGGACCTCGGAAAATGTTGGGGTTTACATAACTGAAATGTGGGATTTACATAGTCTTAAAATCGGACTCTCTCTGGGGTTTACATAATCTTACAATGGACTTTACTTAGTCTTAATTTGATGTTAAGAATAGGCAAGAATGTTGGTAGGTAAGGCTGTAGAAGTATAGTCGTGCCCGTGTTTTTGCCACCTGTTTTTGTAACGGTCGCGGAAGTTTTCACATTTTTTGCTCTACAAGAGCAACGCTGACAAGTTTTTTCAGTCAAACCTAATGGGTTATAGATTATCAGCTAAGCTGAATCCGAATATTATAGTGGTAGCTGCCAAGGAGCCTTCAGAGAGCGGTTTTCTAGAAAAACAGTTTTTCAGAAACTCTAAAAACTAACCAGACCCTTTCGTAATGAGACATGATTGTAGCCCGCAAATTTTTGATTAAAATGTGATATCTCCCACCTCTAACGACCTTTCTTTGCAAAGTTATAGAATTTAGAAGAAAAGCCCTAAATGTTCATTGTCATTTCAGAGCTACAGAAATAAGAAGAAATAAATTTAGGGCTTTTCTTGTAAATTCTATAACTTTGCAAAGAGAGATCGTGTAGAGCTGAGAGATATCTCATTTTAATCAAAATTTGCGGGCTACAATCATGTCTCACTAATAAAGGTTTTGATTATTTTTTTAGGGTTTCTAAAACTGTTTTTCTAGAAAACCGCTCTCTGAAGGCTCCTTGGCAGCTACCACTATGATATTCGGATTCAGCATAGTTTATAACCTATAACCCACTAGGTTTGGCTGAAAAAGCAATATGACAGTTCGCGAGGTCTCCTCGTAAGTCTGAACTACAGAACGTGCATCAAATAAGTTTTTCTCTCATAAAACAACGTCATTGAGAAATATAATTCAAACATGGAACATCACTAAAAATAACGTTTAATCTAAATTAGTCTCTATTTGTAGATTTGCTGAAAGAGCTAAATATGGCACGCAAAATGTCGATTTCCAGAAAATTAACTTTTACAAAATGTTTCTAAAAGCCACTAAAAAGTACCATAAAAATCTTTTAACACATTCACTGCCGTATACGTCGGATGACGTATTCACGTCATATATTTTAGCATATGTGTTAACGAAGTGAGACCGATAGAGTCTTTCGCGGGCTATTGTTTCATGTATTTGGTTTTAGTAAGAAATGATTGATTACTTTTAACATTTGTGCAAAGATTTTCTTGATATATTTTAGTGAAATTTTACAAGAACATTTTTAGTGATGTTTTATGTTTGAATTATATTTCTCAATGAAATTATTTTATGAGAGAAAAATTTGTTTGATGCACGTTCTGTAGTTCAGACTTTGCTCTTTCCAACGCACAAAAAAGGTAAAATCTTCAGAATATTAGAAATAGTACTCGACATCTGTTGCTAAACTTATGTACACTCCGTTATACTCATTTCAGAGTACATTCTTTCACAGATATAGATAAATATTTGGAGACGTACATGTCCATATAATAATTCTAATAACTCATGTGAAATAAATTGTCCATCGAGTAAGAATGAGCTGAAACGTGGTGTCGATAAACAGAGACCATACATTGCCTAAAAAACACATAAACCTTTTAAATAGATAATCTATTAATTTTTTATATTTTACTTTAAGAATATTTGAGCCACATTTTGGTGTTTTAAATTGTGCAAGCCAAATATCACGAAATGGTGCATAATTTTTTTCAAGTAATTTTATTGCAAGAGAATTTGCAACCTAAACTATGATTTATTATATAAAAGTAAATAGATAGACTATATGGTTTAGTTTACTTTGATTTTTGGTTGAAGTAAATCATCAGGTAAACATTGAGATGGATAAGTAAATGCAGCCATAACAGCAATAACATACATTCGTGTTTCATTATACAACTCTTCTTGACTAATTTGATCACCATCAGAAGATGCTATTGTAAAATACAGAATTTAAATTTGAATACTAACAAAATTTATCAAAGATACCTCTCTGTTTATTTGTATCATGTTTATAATTTGTTGTTATATGAGCAATAGTTGACCATAGTTGACATTTATCAAGTCGTTGTGGATCATACCATGCTTGAGATAATTCAGCTGATGAGTCTTCAAATGATTCACAAAGAATAATTAGAATCATTAATGTTTCACAACACAAAGCATAGTCAAGATCTTGTGATAATTGTAATATTGAAGATGATTGTTCAAGAAATAAATGAGCAATTGTTAAATAATGTTCACATTCATTTGGTTGAAGTTGTTGTAGTGTTGAAGATGTTATTAGTTCAAACCATAAACGAATTACAATCAAAATATCAAATAGAACATGACTGAACCAAGGCTAAATAAAAGAAAATGGAATAAATTTTAAAAAAATGAGTTAAACATAAATTTTACTTCTTTTCGAATGTTTGTTTGTTCCATAATTTGTTTTAAATGTTTAACGACGAATTCTGGCAAATGGATTGAATGTGAAAATGTTATAATTAAAACTGATTCAGTATCAGATTGTAGAACATATCGAATTATTTTCATTAGATTTCGATACAATGATGCACCTCTCAACGAACATTCGAACATTTTTGGTAAAGCTAATGTATGTGTAGATTCTAATAACGTGTAAAACTGATTATTGTGCAATAATTCAACAATTTGATCACTGTTCATAAATTCGATTTTCTCTGCGTATTGTTCTAGTTCACGTTCATTTGGCATTATCGGTGGTGACATATTTTCTCGAGCAGATACCCATTTCTCTTCCTGTTCTGAATCTGATGTAGTTACTGGTGCTTTTGATTTACGCAATTGTTGTTCATTAATGGAAGATTTTCGTTCAACAGTCACATCTTTCTTTTTTGTTGCTATCGGTACAGATTCAACACTTGGTATCATAGTTTGTTCAGTTGAAATAAGATTCATAACTCCATTATGTATTGTCGGTTGTTCATCGACTTTTGCTGGCACTTTTTTTTTTGGCGTTTTTTCTTTCTTTATCGGTGATTTTGGAGTTTCCTACAATAGTAAAGATTTTTAATGGATTGTATTTTTATTTTTGAACTTTTTGAAAACCTTGCGATGTTCGTCAGGCATAAATTTCGATAACAATTTCGATGGTCCACGTGAAACACCTTTACTTTTAATTTGTTGTTGTTTCAACATTTTTTGTTCTTCTGTTGGAGTAATAGTCAATGGGGCAATAATCGATTCAGATAGTGCAGGTACTGAATAAAATAAAAAGTATATTAATAAGAATAAATGAGTGATATTCTTACCTTTTACACCAGCTTGAACGAATGGGTGATTTAAAAGATCTGGCCATGTTAATCGATGTGTAGTATCTTTTGTTAATAAACCTTCTAGAAAACTTTTCATATCAGGACTAATCGTTTTTGGCCATTTGACGGGTTCTATTACAGAAATAATTTGTTTGTGTTGTAACGAGAGTTTAAAACACAACTTACCGTTTCCAATCAGTTTAATCAAATGAAAAACATTATTGGTGAAAAATGGCGGTTTTCCGTGATAGACTTCATACAAAATACATCCGAGAGCCCTAAGAAAAGGAAAAATGTCCTGATATTACTTGTTAAGATTGTGTCTATAGCTTACCATAAGTCAGCTGAATGATCATAAGGTTTTTCTTCAACGAGTTCTGGACACATGTACAAAGGTGTCCCCTAGAATTATGAGAACAATTGTTAAGACGGGAAAAAAGCAACAGTAATTTGGTAATAATAAAACAGTAGGAATCGTCATTATAATAAGAGCTGATGAACGACTGAGATGCCAAAAGACAACGCTACCAGATTAGCTACTTCTTCTATTAAACATTGAAAAAATGTTGATAAGTATGGAAAACTTACTTTGATTGATGTCAAAACCATCGTATTCATTGTCATATTTCGAGCAAATCTAAAACGTTACGTTTACAGATAAAATGTATAGTTTATATAAGAAAGGTGTTTGATCTTACCCAAAATCGCATAATTTCACTCGTCCACCTTGAAAAATGAGAATATTTTGTGGTTTCATATCTCGATGTAGCACACGATGAGAGTGTAAATAGTATAATGCTGATACCAATTGACAAGCGATCTTTTGAACCTGTAACACAGATAATCGTTATTCCGTATATTATTAATAAAAACTACAAAGTATACTGTTTCTTCAGGTAAATAAACATCATCTTCTAATAATTGATATAAATCTGCTAAACCACGTTCCGTCACAACAACAAGCTAAAAAAATTGGTTAATTTTAAACTACATCAACGAACAATGTTTTAGCATCCTGTTTACCTCATTACTTGTTTCAAAACTATTTAACATCTCCACTATATTTTCATGTTTCATATTTCGCAAAATTTCAATTTCACGACGAAGAAAATTTAGATCTTTTTCACTTTTTCCTAATTTTGAAATAAACTTGAGAGCAACATCCTAGAAAAAAAAAAGCCAACGACATAAAACAGCTCATCAGCGGAGGTTACATATTGAAAGTAGAATTCATCCCTGCTGAATTTTACTTTGTAAGCCAATTCCTTCAGTAGAGTACGTGAGAATATTTCTATTTCGAGCGTCTGACAAGTATAGCACAGCTAGAATTTCGTTCAACTTACCCTTCCAGTGAATTTTTCTCTGCCGCGATACACTTTGGCGAAAGAACCTTCGCCTATAGGACTCACAATCACGTATTTATCCATTATGTTTAGAGAAATGTATGTCAAAGTAAGCAGTTCTCTTGCTTCGATTTCGATCACTACTACAGGTTTGTCAAACGTCAGCCATTAAATACGCCTAAAATGATCGTTGCTAAGCACGTTTCAAACTCGCCTATCGAAACGTATCGGACTACAGTATATCACTTACCACAGTGAAACTTTGAAGTTTATAGGCTCACCTCTTTTTGTATAGTTTTGTCCCGATAGAATCTTCCGATCTCTATAAACGACATGTGCTATTAGACAATAAGCCACCATACGATGAGTCACAGATAGAAATTTGATGTTTAACTGTAGGTAAAGCGTGTAGTGTGATAATACAGATCTATTCGATGCTTCCTCTCATTATTCTTTTGATGGATTACTTTCAGAGTTCCGAGTTTATGTCTAGACTATTGCAAAAGTAATATGACATGTAAAGAAAACGTGCTTTAGACGAAAAGCTGACTGTTTTCATCATTTTTGATCTGACAACGGTAGTTGTGTTTTAACATCGGTGCATAATTAAACGCTAAATAAAGGAAACTGATTATGTCGTGTCAAGCGTTATTTCAGTGGCGGAGGTGCGCTTGGTGCGATCGCATCCCTCTTCCTACATATTTTCAGAAGAAACACAAACACTGTTAGTGCTTCGAGCCTAAAAGTTCAAACCATCACACGCCCCTTAAGAAATCCTGGAATCGCCACTGCGTTATTTCATGATTGCTTGTTTGATTAAACCGACGATATGAACTAGAATTAGATAGTTTTCTGACATAGTTTATATAAGTACAAGCTTTTACATTGTTCGTTTTAAAGTCTAACAAATTTTTTATTTGGTTTTCTGTTTATTTATGATGTTAAAGTAATCTGTTTAGGTGAAAAGTGTGATAATGAAACATGCATGTAGTGAGCTGACAAAATTTTCTTTATAAAACTGGACAAACCAAGCGCACGCAGAAAAGTTTCAACGAAATTTTGTTGTTCTGAGATCTTTTTTATTTTGATTAGAGTTAATTTAGATTAAGGCTATCTAGCTTATCAGAACTGAACTATTTTTTTAAAATTTTCCTATTCCAACTGAACAACACAAGAAATGCTTAATGAAATTATATTAGACGTGATGGGCTGCCGTATTGATGTCTGGATGTTTGCTTAGGAATAGAAGACAGCAAAGTTAAGAACATTTTTAATCCATCATTGCCTTTTGACATGAAAAAGTCTGGCATTAGTGGCTATTATTCTTTTGTGAGATAACAGAACTTTTGACGAAGCTATATTCTGAATGTTTTCTGTTTTTTTTAATTAAGACTATTTTTGTTTTGTAATCTTTTTATTATAGAACAAAGTGCGTTTTCTCTTGTCGCTCATCTACTGGATTATTATATAATCTATAAGCGTTAATCATTTTATCAGAAGACACACTCGCTTGAACTGAAATTCTTCTGCAGTTTATTTTTAATATAGGCTTGAGTTTTGTCCCTCCGATATCCGAGAAATGTTAAAGAATTCTCTTAAAAGTACGAATGAAGAATTTATCTGTATGGAATCATCCTTTGAATAACATCATTGAACTGGATTGCAGATGCGTCCTTATTTGTAAAAAAAAGTAAACTTTTCTGTACTTATTATGATTGTATGACAGTTCTCGAAGGAAAGCTATTATCCGCTTTCTTATTCCCATTGTTAGTAAATCTTCATTTACTTTTGTTTTTTAGAAGCAAAACTTGTCTATGGGTAGCACTTGATAATCTAGCATTATATTCTATATTACTTGTATACTACTTTTTTACTTGAATACATCGAGTCACACCGAAGTTTATGTTCAGTTTTGTTTTCTTTATTGTTTAGGATAGTGAAAAACTTCCCTAAGTAACGATGACAATGCACTGTCATTTAAATGTACATTCGCTTTTCCACTTACATCTACCCCATTTATCTATGATTATGAATAGACAATCCTTCCATACAATATCAAACTTCATATGGTAAAACAATAATAATAAACACCATCATGCCGAGTCAATATGAAAGGTAAATAATTCTTTTTTATCTTGTTCTGCAGAAATTATAGATGCAGAATGAATTTCATTCTAAGTTTACAGTCATTTTTGATCATCTGACAATTGTGCCTCTATAATAATCATAGTAGTATGTAAGATATGCTATGAAATAGTAAAATTATTCATTATCATAGGTAATTACTTGCATTTTAATCTAAAAATAGCAATTTCAAGACGTCATATTTTAAAGACAAGAATGAGTATCATATTAGCGCGGTAAGAGAGCTCCTATTGTTAGGCTAATGCAATTAGTTAAGCTTTGAAAATCTATAACCGTTTTTTTTTATCTTGGTAATATGTCACTAGAATTAAGCCAAATGTGTATAATATTTTTATCATCAAGGATATCTCATTGAGATTTGCCTATAAACAAGTACGGTCCTTGCAATGAAATTTTTATTCTTGTTTGTTTTTAAAAGTGATTTTGTTGTTTTTTTTATAAAAACATGTTAAGTATCGAAACGAGTAAATTCTGTTAGAAATTATTTGTGTAATGAATAATTTTTTTCTTGTCAAAGAAAAAATGTGGACGTATAATAATGACTAAATTAAATAACGTAGCGTTTTTCTCACTGGTCACTCATTCTCTTCCACTATAATAAGGAATGAATTGCCGACGTGTTAACATTGCATACGTACGGTTTCTTCTTCATCTTCGCTGTCACATGTTTTTTTTACACAAAATAATGAGCTAAAAGCAATCTGATATAAAAAATTCAATTTCTATCACCTAGTTCTTATCGACAAAGACTAGAATTGACTCATTGTCGTTGCTGTTGTTGTTATAATTATTGTTTCATGCGCCTCACAAAAATATTTTTTTTTTTTATCTCATAAAACATATGATCATCACGCAAGTGTTCGCTTTTGCGTTTCTGTTCCATATGATCGAAAGAAAAATGAGAAAGAAATAGAAAAGAGAATCAGTCTGTATTTTATTTTCCCTTTTTTAAGCAAGTCTACTTGGTTCGGTACGTCTCACTGTGTTTAATATGATGATGGCTGTAATAATATATGGGGTACACACTAAGTAATAACAATAACGCTCAAAATATTTTTCTCTCTCTCTCTCATTCACTCATTCATTCATTCATTTAGTGTTCACTCAGATGTTGATAAGTACATCCTTTTTTAAACATAAAAATTATATATTGTATTGTGTTGTTGATTATGCGATTGGTGATGGTAGTAGTAGTAGCCACTGCTTGCTATGTGAGGGATGATGATGACAGATAAATGATTATTAGAGTTTATTCTCATCTTATTCTGCTTCTTTATCGGCGTCGTTCTTTGTTATTGTAAATAATCATTCGTGCTTTTTTATTGAATGGGTAAGTATGTGTACGTATGATAAGATTGTCGAGAACAACCGGTTGTTAACCTTGATTTAATGATATTTATGAAGAATGTTTTAACATTCTAATGGGTAATAACCAAAATATCGTATCTTATGCCACATCTTGTATAATACTTTCAATTATGTCTGTTTTACACAATTTCACGTGCTGCACAACTTAGACAAAAAATAATTGCCACGTCATACTCTTCTCATCCCTAAAATTTAGTAATTGTGCATATTTACATTATGAATAAATCTCCTATGATTTGTCAGCGTTGGCCATGTTGAACTATTGCTTAAGTTCTCCTGAAATAATAACCTTCATGTCACAATGTTTATCTCTAAAGAAAAAGTCCTGTTTGACTTTTTCTACGATAAGATCAGCAATTGAGCATTTTTCTTATAAATTGCGCTGTGATTTAACTTTATTTGATGAAGTTGACATTGTTTATCACATCTGTTTTCTATTTATCCGTTTAAGGCATTAAACGACTACAGTCGTCAATTGTCAAACGTTATGAATAGTAGTAGTATTAATCAGCATCATCAATCGTATCAATACATTTCACATCCATCGCTAATCACACCAGCCAACACAACCGTCTCATTTCCAAGTGAACAAAACGCGTTTTTACAATATTGTTGTCCGTCTCCATCTATTATCAATACAACAGCGATAACAGGCGTATCACCTTCATCGATAATACACAATTCTTCTTGTCCTCCTTATCGTCAACAATTACTTGAAAATCGTTTCGTTTCTTCTGGTAATTTCGATCAGTTTTACTTATCGCCGACAACAGCTTCACAATCATTTGTACATAGCAATAACGCAATTAATAATAATTGTCAGATAAAGTCATCAACAAATATTAATAACGATATTCTTGGAGGTGCTAATTTTATGTAGGTGGTTTCTGGAAATAATCTACTGTTACTCAGAGCGGTTAAAGAAAACGAAAGTTGTTTCTTTTCTCCGAATATTAAAGTTCGACTGGGAACCTTGTTTGTCAGATCTTCAGGAAAAAACCTTCGAGAACTTTTTTATAAATATTTACTAACAACATTATAGACCTTGTCATAATTGTTCAAAAATTCTTCGCGTTCCAGCCGAAACAACCTTAAACTGGCGCAGTATATCATAGTTTGTTGAGTTATAGAAGTTTTCCGTTATAATAAGGCTCACTATTGAAGCTTTGTAAAACTAATTATTGAGCTAATGGCTCACTTGTATTTGTACAGTTATCGATAGTTTTTGTCTTTCGTTTTTAGACAATATCAGTCGAAGAAAAAACCATCTTTATCATCAAATTCAACATCTTCGTCGAATTCGTTGTATTTAAATCAAATTGGAACAACGTTAAATCAATCTTCTCACTATTCGCCCACTATTCTTCAACATCACTTATCCTCATCTTCTTCGCCAATTCCGTTTCATTTCTTACCACCACAACCGCCTTTAACGACACCGCCACAATCAATGTCCAATGGTGAATTGGTGATTGTTCAATCATCACAGCCAAAACAAAGTAATTCATCTCCATCTTCATCAGACTTCGAAATAATGGCAACAAATCCTA